GAGCCCGGTGTCCCCCAGCCCTGGTGGGCTCTGCAGCTGAGGTTTGCTTTGGAGGGAGCAAAGGAGCCATTTTCTGACCAAAACCACAGGAAAAGGAGAGGAAACACCGTGGCTGCTGCCTGAAAGTATGTCAGCAATGTAAATGAGGCAGGAATGCTCCTGCCTGGGTTTTCTGCAGCCCTGCCAAGCGGGGATGGAAAGGTCTGACCTGTCCTGGGTGCTCCTGGAGTGCATCCAGGTGCTGCCATTCCCAGCAGGGCACCTGCAGCCTGTTGGCAGAGCCCTGGCATGGGCACGGGGGCCAGGCTGGTGCTGGGAGCAGGGAGAGAGAGGTGGTCCCAGGCAGGGCTGAGCCGATTAGAGCCCTGATCCCCTGATGAAGGGGGGCACACCCAGGAGATGTTCCAGCAAATCCCCCTGGAGCACGAGCAGGGCTGGAGCTGCTGCTGCCACCACCGTGGGACACCCCCAGGGCCACCCTGCCCTCCCAGCCTGGCTGGGAGGAGGTTTGGGGTGACATCGTGGCCGAGGCACTGCAGGAGCCACCAGGACCCAGGGCATGGTACCTTGGCCTCTAGAGTAGCTCTGTGTGTGTCTGTGTCCTCCTCTTCCTCCTCTCCCTGCTCCTGCTCCCCTGGAGGACCCAGGGGAGCTGATGTCCTCGCTGGCACTGGTGTGGAATATTTATTTTATTCCTGAACAAAGCCCTGAGTGGCTTTCAAGGCATTTTAGCCCATTGTGGGGCAGAGGGGCTGGGGACAGTCCTGGCAGCTGGCCACCCTGGGTGTGGAGAGGCCTTGGGTGCTCCTGCAGCTTTCTGGGCTGGGTCTGAAGTGCCCTTTTTGTCCCTGTCCCTGCTCAGGGTCAGGTGGGGAAGCTGTGAAGGTGCAGCTTGGTTTGTGAGTGCCTGGGGACAGTGGTGACAGCGGGCTGTGGGGAGCAGGGACACCCCTGTCCTGGGCTGGGTCAGCACTGGCAGCAGGAGCTGGTGGCACTGGTGGCACTGGTGGCGTTGAGCTGGGGAGGGGCTTTGGGTTTGGTTGGATACCAGAGCTTGGGGGCTGCTCTGCTGCCCCTCAAAACCCAGGAGGGGAGTTTGGCTCCTTTGGTGCCTCTGGGAGTGGGTTCTGCTTGCATGGAGGCTGCCACGTGCTAATTAATGGTGTGGAAAGCCCCGGTTAATCAGAGCTGGTGACATTTGTGACACCAGCCCCGAGATGGGAGCAGCCCTGGTCACTGCAGGGACCTGCACAGGTGGCACAGAGCACCCATGGGCCAAGGGGCACCTCTGGAAGAGCCAGGGTGCCCCCAGGTGACCCCCGAGCCAGGGGGTGTCCCTGAGGGACCCCAGTTCCCATCAGCAGCGCTGGAAACTCTTAAGGGAAATAAAAAATCAGATGCTGCAAAGAGTTGCCATGAGATTGTGAGAGCTGGCAACACCCAATCAGTTTTTTTAAATTTTACTGAAAGCGTTTCATTGTTATTTAATGTCTTGTTTGTGCATTTTTAAATGGACCAGCTTGAGCTGGGCTTCCGAAACCTTTTCCTTGGAAAATGCAGCTGCTTTGGCCCAAGCTGCAGCTCCAGGGCTGGGTGTGAGTGCAGCTCATCATGCAGGCAGCATTTACCTGCACAGACATTCCTGGCCATGGCACAGCCAGGGATGGAGGGTGCCCTGCTTAATCCAGCTCATAAAACCAGTGGCCACTGGAAGTGCCTGGATTCCTGGAGGGGAAAAAAAAAAAATCCATTTTGCAGATTTTTTTTTGGTGTGTGTGGGCAATTTTTGGCTTGTTGAGACAAAAAAATGGAGCTGAATTTTGCTGCTTTCCAGCATGCATGTGGATGTAACTCAATCCAAGCTGGCTTTGGGGCTCAGCCTCCTCCGGAGCCCTGCTGCAGGCAGGAGCCTGGGAAGCCCCCATAACTCTGCTCTTCCAGGGGAACTTGGGTTTCACAAAGGCCAGATCCCCCCGGGAGCTGGGGAAATCTCTTCCCAGAACACGAGCAGGGAAACGCTGGCACGGGTAAAAGGGAAAATAAAGAGTGGGGCTGGCAGGAGAGGCAGCAGCTCCGTGTCCTGGGGGTGTGAGCAGGGCTGAGGGGAGTGTCAGCTCTGCTTAATCCCACAGAGGGGCTTTGCAGAGCTCAGCTCCAAAGCTGTTTTTTCCAGCAGCCAAGGATTGCGTTAGCTGGGAGGTTTAAGAGCCCAGCAAAAGCCCTGGATCATCTCTGCAGGAGGATAAGCAGTTTTCCCCAAGGGTTTCTGCCCAGAACAGATGCTGAATTGGGATTATTTTTTTATATGTATGTATTTAAAAATAAATGTCTTGGCTTCATTCCAGTTAAGGGCCTTAAATTCAGGATGGTGCAGGGGAAGCAGCACAAGCCCACGCAGGACGTGGCACAAGCCAGCAGCTCCCAGCCAGGGAAGCTTCTCCCAAACTCTGGGGTTTGTTTAGTGAGTCATTTGATTTCACTGCTGATCCCAGGGGACCAGCAGGAGGAGGGACTGACCCTGCCAGGGTGTCCCCAAGGGATCCCCAGGCTGGGGCAGCACCTCCAGCACAGATTTTTGGGTGATTCTCAGTGATTTCTCTGTGTTTTCACACTGCTGCAGGAGCTCTGACTCTGTACAGATGGGGCAGGGGGAAAATGGCTTTAAAAGGTCCTTTTTAAACCCAAAGAGGTGATCCCAGGTGGATTTGGGTGATCCCAGCTGCACTGTGGTGACCCCAGAGGCGCTCCCCTTGTCCTGCACACAGAGCACCGTGTGTCCTTTAAGGTCACTCAGTCCGACCCTCTTGGGCCAGTTGAATCATTTCCTGTTTTCCTCAGTGCTTGAAGAGCTCCAGGCAGGCTGGAAATGTTTGCAGATAGGGTGAACCGGCTGCTCTGGGGCCATGGGAAAAGTGCAGCAGGGTTAAACGTGCACAGGGAGGGGATGGGGCTGCAGGGCTGCCCCGGTGTGTGAGCAGGGACAGGAGGGCCCTGGAGCTCTGTCCTGCCTTGGGCTGTTCACTGATAGAAAGTTTTTCCCCTTTAAGAATGAGATGCCAACACCACGAGCTGGTTTTTAATAAAAAACTCATTTGTACAGGAATCTCTGTAAAATTCAGGAGGAGTTTGGAGTGTGCCCCAGTGCCTGTGATGGGCACTGCTGGTGGTGACCCTTGTGTGAGAGCAGTTTTTGGGGAATTTGGTGGTTAAGGTGCCAGAGGAAAGGCACAATCCTGACTGCTGGGCTCTGGGGAATGCTGCCTGAACAGAGAGCTTGGACTTGGCTGACCCTCAGTGGTTCCTTCCCACCTGAGCCATTCCATGTGTGCAGGCTGCTCATTTTGCATCCCCGTTTCTTCCTGGGTGCTGGGGTTGAGCTGCTCAGGCTGGTGCTGAGCCCTGGTCCACGTCTGTCCCCCTGGGCATTGCAGCCACAGCCAGAATTGCCCAGAGCAGCTGGGGCTGCCCCTGCATCCCTGGCAGTGCCCAGGCCAGGCTGGACAGGGCTGGGAGCAGCCTGGGACAGCGGGAGGTGTCCCTGCCATGGCAGGGGACTGGGACAAGGTGATCTTTAAGGTCCCTTCCACCCCATCTGGAATTCTGTGCAAATTCCCTCCCCCAGCACAGGGATCCCTGGTAGATCACTCTGTGTCCCCACTTTGTCTGCTCTGTAAAATCCCTCCTTGAGGGGGTGGGGAGGTTTGGTGTTTCATGGTGCCTTTCAGCCAAGAGAGGAAGGGGGAGGAAATTGCTGCCTGGATTTTTAATTTGGAGGGAAAGGCTGTAAGAGATTTCCCTGTGAATGTGATCCCAGACAAATCCTCTCCGTGGGCAGGCAGGGAGCAGTGGTGCTCCTGCTCAGGAAAGGTTAAAACTCATCCAGGGGGGATGTTTTCCTTAAAGCCTGGGTGAAAATGAACACCCTGAAGCTCCAAGGTGCCTTTGGCAGGGATGTGGTGCTGTGCCACGAGCTGGAGCTGCGTGGTGGGAGCAGAATCCCAGGGAATGTAGTGGGTCCTGAAGACCTGGAGAAAACCAGGATTTGTTGCTCCCTGGCTGCCCCGAGGAGCCATAAAGCATTTTCCATGGCATGAGGGGAGGCACTGAACTCCTCCCGTGCCCCTGTGCTTCTCATCCTGCCCAGCTCAGGTTTCCCCAGCTGCAGGGAGCTCTTGGATGTTCAGGTCCATCATCCCAGGAGCTCTTGGATGTTCAGGTCCATCATCCCAGGAGCTCTTGGATGTTCAGGTCCATCAACCCGGAGCTCTTGGATGTCTAGGTCCATCATTCCAGGAGCTCTTGGATGTTCAGGTCCATCATCCCAGGAGCTCTTGGATGTCTGGGTTCATCAATCCAGGAGCTCTTGGTTGTTCAGGTTCATCATCCCAGGAGCTCTTGGATGCCTGGGTCCATCATTCCAGGAGCTCTTGGTTGTTCAGGTTCATCACCCCAGTCCCTCCTCGCTGGGAGGGGATGGCACTAGCGGGTGATGCCGGTGTCACTGAGACCAAGGGAGTGGCCCTGCCTTAAATACCTGCCTGAGGTTAATCCCAGGTCTGGGTGGGCCTGGCCAAAGCACAACTGGGCCTTGGTTCCTCCCTGCCCGGGGCTGGGGCTGGGCTGGCTGCCTGGGGGGGTCCCAGTGTATGGGTGGATTAATCTGAGCCACTCCTGCTGAAGGAAATGCATTTTTTGTTTTGTTTTCATTTTTCTGGAGTGGTTTTGGACAATTGAGTTGCGAAAATAGACTCAATGAGAGGAAATGCATTTGTTAACCTGTCCCCGGGCTGAGGACGGGCGGCAGATACGGCGCTTCCTCGGGGCTTACGGTCACATCTGCCCTGGAGCCACCCCAAAGCCATCAATTAACGCCCGTGCCTCGTCTCCTCCATGAACCAGGACCTGAACGGCCAGAAGGAGCTGTGCCCACGCCTGTGCCACCTGAAGAAAGGCCCCAATCCCCGTGCCTCGTCTCCCCCACTCTCTCCTCCATGAACCAGGACCTGAACGGCCAGAAGGAGCTGTGCCCACGCCTGTGCCACCTGAAGAAAGGCCCCAATGGCTACGGCTTCAACCTGCACAGCGAGAAGTCGCGGCCGGGGCAGTTCATCCGCTCCGTGGATCCCGACTCGCCGGCAGCCCGGGCAGGCCTGCGGCCCCAGGACCGCCTGGTGGAGGTAACGGGGGGCCAGCAGCACGGCTGGGACCCTGGGCAAGCTGGGACACCCCCAGCCCGTGACCTTCCCCCCCTGATCCCCCTGTGTTCCTCTATCTCGGAGTCCCAAGGCTGGCTCTGCTCGCTGCTCTCCTGCCAAGGGGGCGTTTGGGAGCTCCGGGTGGAATTACAATTGTTTTTAGGCTGAAATTGCCCTCCAAGACTACTGAGTCCTGCCTTTCCCCAGCACTGCCAAGGCCACCCGTGTCCCCAAGGTGCTGTGCTGGCTCTGGCTGGCACCAGGGAGGGTGGGGCAGGTGACTGTGGGCATAAGGCCAGGTTGGTGCTACCCAGCTGAGCTGATGCCCTGCCAGGAACTGCTTGGAAAAACAGGAGAAGAAGCTTTGCAGAGATTTTAACACACAAAATTATGAAAGATGGGGGAAAAGTGTTCTTGGAAGCATCTTGCTGGTTGCCATGTGCTGGACAGCACTTTTTGCCCAAGATGGAGCTGGGAATTGCCCTCTCTTTGCTTGTGTGTTGTGTTGTTCCTGGAGAGGGAGATTCCCACATCCAGAGCTGCCTGTCTGGGCAGAGGGGCAGACACAGCCCCCCTTTCCCTGTGGGAGCACATGGATATCCCCTGCTTGGGCTGTTCCCCGGGAGCTTAACCCCCAAAACCACCCCACAGGGACCGAGCTGTGGCCCTTGCTGCCAGCTCAGAGCAGGAATGGGGTTTGCACCCCTGGAGGAGTGTGAGCTGGGAAGATCCCGAGAGCAGAGCACTCTGCTGCTTTCCAGGCCCATGAAGAATTATTCCCCAGGCAGTGGGAGCTGCTGCCTCTTGCCAGCAGCTGAAAGTTTAATGCTGGGAGCAGCGTGGGGCCGGGGCACGGGTGGCACTGGCTGGCTGGTGTCACATCCAGGGGTCGTGTTATTTATTTATGGGCTTGGCCCAGGGCCTGGCACACACAAAGCAGCTCGGGGTGAGCTGCTGAGCTCAGAAACCTGATCCCCTCCCTGCCTGCTCTTTGGGGCTGGCATAAATATTTGATGCCCCCCCAGGCCTGTGCCAGGGTGGGGGGAGAGCAGCCCTGGGCATGGATTGGGGTGAGCTGGAGTGGCAGGACAGGGATGGAGCAGGGCTGTGAGCTGGCAGCTGAGGCTGGCACAGCCTGGAAGGGGTTTCTTCTCATCCCAGCCCTTGCAGCTGTGCCCTGAGGAGCAGGGGAGCCTGCTTCCCTGCAGAGGGGATCCCAGGGTGTGGAGCCAGGCTCTGCTCATCCCTTTGGGTGAGGAGAGCTGGGTCATGCTGAGGCTGTCCCCTTCCCGGTGGGACAAAGGGTGATTCACTGCCACCGAACAATGTCCTGAGTCACCATTGTCCCCTGGCTGGGAACAATCAGGATCACGTTCCCGGGAGGTCCTGGCTCTCACACAGGGCAGGGAGGGATGAATCCCTGCCCCAGGCACAGGGGCTCGCCCTCAGGGGCACAGAAACCCCCGGTTTTCCCTGGCAGAGGGATGGAGGATGGCACGGGGGTGCACCCAGCCCACTGTGCCCACGGGGAGCCCGAGATTCCTGGGCACATCCCAGGGGAAGGCTGGGCTTCACAGCACTGGAGAGGGCAGGCAGAGGGTTTTGGTGGGAGCCTGGGGTGTGTGGTTGCCCGTGCATGTGTTTGGGATGCAGCCAGAGGCCTGAGGGAACACGGATGAGAGAGAGAATCCCAGAGAGAGAATCCCAGAGGGAGAATCCCAGAGAGAGAATGCCAGAGAGGATGCTCTGGGGGGGTTAGGAGGCCATGCTTGGCTGGAGAGGGGGAACAAAAGAGCCTGCAGCCTTCCTGTCACCCCAACAGGAATACATCCTGTCATCCCAACAGGATGGCAAATGCCATCCCAACAGGAACGAAGAAAGGCAAATGGCACCCCCTGGGGAAGGAGGGGGTCTGGGGCCGGGAGCTCAACAGGAATACAGAAAGGCAAATGCCATCCCAACAGGAATGAAGAAAGGCAAATGGCACCCCCTGGGGAAGGAGGGGGTCTGGGGCCGGGAGCAGCCCCCGGGGCTGCCTTTGGGCTGTGACGCCGTGTCCCCACAGGTGAACGGGGTGAACGTGGAGGGGCTGCGCCACTCCGAGGTGGTGTCCCACATCAAGGCCAGGGACAGCGAGGCCAGGCTGCTGGTGGTGGACCCCGAGACAGACGAGTACTTCAAGAAGCTGGGGGTGACCCCCACGGAGGAGCACAGCAGAGGTGAGGCCGTGCTTTCCCAGGCCGGGCCTGTGGCTCACAGGGGAGAGGCGCGCTTCCCTCCCGCCTCATCCCTCAGGAGTTTCCTGAGCACCACCCAGCTATTTATAAACACTGAGAACACCCACCCAGCCAAAAAACACTTTGTTGCTTTTACACGGTGAATAATGAGCTGTGGAACTCCACGGTGAATAATGGAATAATGAACTGTGGAACCCTGTGGGCCTGAGGTGTGGTGGGGTTTGGGGGAGCTGGGCTGCTCCTGTGGGAGGTGTCCCTGCCCGTGGTGGGGCTGGGTGAGCTTTAAGGTCCCTTCCACCACAATCCTGTGATGCCCTGGTGGCTCTTTGCTCCAGGGAAGGAGCCTGTGGGCACCTGCAGCGTCCCTGTGCAGAGGGAAGGGCTCCACGCTGGCGGATCACGGCGTGGCTGGGGCAGGAAATGTTCACCTGAGGCAGGTGAATATTTAAGCATCCCAAAGCCACACAGAGGTTTTTGTACCAGCACACTCTCAAAATCACGAGGTGGCAGGGAAAGCTGCTCACCCGCTGCCCCCTGCTCAGGAGGGGACACAGCTCCCAGGCTGGCCTGTCCCCTGCTCAATGGGCAGCTCTGTCTGCCAGCACAGCTGCTCCTTATCTGATCCCCGGGGTGTCAATGGGCAGATTTGTCCCCAGAAGTGGGTCAGGCCCTGCTGGGGAGCCACAGGGTGTCAGATGCTCCCAGGAGGAGCCGGGGCTGGCTGCTGGCGCTGCCACAAAGGAGCCCTTGTTCCAGGAGGGGACAGAGCCCTGGGCAGGGAGGCTGGGGCTCCGGGCCCCGTGCTCACCAGGACTCGGGTCTGCCAGGCACCTGCCAGGTGCCAAAGGGCTCTGGTGAATTCTGCTGTTTGCTGGATGAGAGGAAATCATAGCTGTCCTCTTGAGCTGACCTGCTTTGACCTCACACTGACACTTCCCAAGCCTTGCAGCTCACCCTGAGCACCTCAACCTTTAACCAAATGAGTGGCTTTTAGATTAAGCATTCCTAGATATGATTAATCTGTTTTTGAAGTCCAGTCCCACTTTTCTGTTCCTTGTCATCTGAAGCTTTTAATTTAAATAATTTAAAATTTAGCTGCTTATGATAGCAGAGACATAACCATGTGTGCGAGCTGACTCTTCTTATGCCCATTGCTCAGAGCTTATCCTACTCTAAACACGAGTACAGCATTCACTGCAATCAAATATTTAAGCATCCCAAAGCCACACAGAGGTTTTTGTACCAGCACACTCTGAAAATCACGATTTAGGTTTATTTTTCTGCTTTGCCCCAGAAATCCCTGCAGTCTGCAGTGATGCAGCCCCCAGTCAGTCCCTAGGGAAAGCATCCATGCTTGACATGATTCAATTATTAATCCTGTCCCAATTAACACATCTGTTAGTCTGGGACAGTGAGACACAGTAATGCCTGGGGTGATGACTTGATCGTGGTGACTGGCAGCTTAAAGGCATAAAATTTGCCATTGTGTGGGCTATTGTTAGAGTAAATCACTGGAAGTGAGCAAAACAAAAATTCCAGAGTGCCTGGAGAGCAGGGTGTGTGGCAGACACTGCTGTGACAACACCATGATGGGGCTTTTGGTGAAGATTTTTGAGCTGACTTTTAAGATTTTTTATTAAAGGACTTATGAAAAAAACTAATGGTCAAAAAAAAAAAGAGGGGGGCAGGATAGTGGCTCTAGAAGGAGGTTACTTGGTCCTCTTCCTGGCAGGTGTTTTCCTCTGATCAAAAGGGTGAAGTGGAGTGAATTCAGGGGGTCTGGCAGGGTTGTGGTTCTAGAAGGGCACAGGGAGAGGGAAAAGGTTTTTGTGTGGGCTGGGAAGCAGCACAGAGTGAAGGGACAGGAGGAGCTGGTGGGCTGGGCAGGAGGAGGAAGGGCTGGGGTCCCAGCTGAGTGCTCACTGTGTGTTTGCTGTGTGCAGGTGTGCTGCCCCAGCCCATGACAAACGGATCTGCACAGACTCAGGTGAGTCCTCACCTGCCCCAGAGAGGCAGCAGCCTCAGGGTGCAGTGCCCAGGAGGGGCCAGGCTCTGGCCCTGGCTCCCCCCTGGGCCAGCTGAGCCTGCATGCTCAGGGCCCCAGGGCTCATTCAGCTCAGCTTTGCTGCTGCCAGGTTTTAATTAGTGCCCACTGCAGCTTTAATTTAGGGCTTGAACAAGGGCAGTTTCAGCCCCATTTAATGCCGGGGGGAGAGGAGGAGTGTCCCAGCTGAGGCAGGATGGGACCATGCTCTGCTTGGGGCTGTGGGGTTTGCTGGAATCCCAGGGGCTCCCTGTGGGCAGGGTCCCCTCAGCAGGAGCATCCCCTCCCTCCAGGCTCCTTTCCATCCCTGCAGCAGCCCTGCCCTGGGGTTTGTTGTGTCTAATTCTGCCTGGCACAGAGCACAATGATGTTTTCCTTTCCTCCAGCTGAACGGCGGATCCACATCTTCATCTCACAGCGACCTGCAGAGTCCTGGGAAGGAATCTGAGGTAAAAGCCCCAAACAAACACCTCCTGTCCCTCTGCACCCTGGTGTGGGGGCAGTCCTGCCCCTCAGTGCTGTGTAGTGATGAGGTTTCAGTTCATCTCCCAGACTTGGGCTCACTTGTACTCAAACAAAACAAAACCCAGGTTTCCTCTCGTGCCTTGCACTGTGGGGGTTCAGCTCCTTGGGCAGTGATTCCTGCTGGGATGCTTTGGGAGGTGAAGGGATGTCTGCAGGATTTGGGATCTGAGGTGTAATTAGCCACAGCAAGGCTGGGGATCTGTGAGGAACACAGCTGTGAGGCTCAAGAGCTGCTAGCAGGACAGGCTAAAATTAAAAAAAAAAGCCAATTATTTTTCTTTTAGTTTGGAACACAGTGAATTTATCACAGCGTTTAAGGGAGGGGAGGAGTTGTTTTTGGTGGCAGGCTGGGCTGAAGTGGTGTGGCTCAGCACTGGAAAGGGGCAAAACTTGTTGGGCAAGGTGAAGTGGCAACCAAAAGTCAACACAAGGCACAGACTGGCATTCCCAGGCGTTAATGATTTAGCAGGTTTTTTCCTGTTACAATAAGAAGTGGGGATTTGCAAAGTGCTCAAAAATTTATCTTTAGCCCAAGGTTCTGCCATAAATAGAGCAGTCTCCATGCAGGTGCCCTGGGGGTTTCTGCCGTGCTGTCCCCTGCCCCAGGACATTTGGGAGCAGGAATGTGCCAGCACCAAGTGCTCAGGTGGCCTCTCTGGGCACCCAGAGCCCCTCGGGCACCAGCTGTGCCAAGCGCCTGCAATCTGCCACTTCCCTGTGAGCCCTGAATAATGCATGTCCTGCTCTGCCCTGGGAGAGCCAGGCTGTGTCCTGCCCTGCCTGTGCTGTCCCCCTGAGCCACCCTTGGGCTGCTGCAGGGTCACTGCAGCACCAGTCAGTCCCTGGGGTGCAGAGGTTGGAAAAGGGGCTGTGCTGGAGCCCTCCTGCCATGGAGACACCCTGGGGCTGTTCAGGGCTGTCCTGGCAAGAAGGCAAAGCCCCTGTGGGGTGGTGGGGGTTTCCTGGGCTCAGTGTGGCTCAGTTTGGTTTGGCTCAGCCCAGCAAGGCTGGCACTGTTGTCTCAGTGCTGGTGGAGAGCCCTGCCCAGGTAACCAGCAGGGTCTACCCTCTGCTCCAGAGCTGGGCATGCTGCTGGGGCAGCAGGACAGCTCTGCAGTGTTCCCCTAAAGCCAGAGGTGTGTGTTCACCCACCCCTGACTGGGCAGCACCTCTGTGGTCCTGCTTTTCCCCTTCCAGCTTCAGGCAGGAGCAGCACCCCACAAAATGCAGTGTTGCAATCAACTCCGTGGCCACACGGGTGCTGCTGCCAGTGAAACCACGGGCACGGCACGGGGAAGGGGCTTTGAGCTAAAAAACCATCCCAGAGCATGTGTTTGTTGTGCAGGCTGGAGGAAATCCTTCCTGGCAGGGCTTGTAGGCACTGGGGGTGCCCAGGGAGGTGCTGGGGTCCCCAGAGGAACACCTGGCTGTGGCTCTGGGCTGGTGACGAGGTGGGCATGGGGCACAGCTGGTGATCCAGGGGTGCCCTGAGGGCACTGCAGGGCTGTGGCAGTGCTGTGACAGTGCTGGCAGCTTTGTCCCTTCCCCCAGGACGGTGACACAGACAAGAAGGACCCTTTTGAGGAGAGCGGGCTGAGCCTGAGCCCCACGGCCGCCGAGGCCAAGGAGAAGGTGAGGGCCAAGCGTGTGAAGAAGAGAGCGCCCCAGATGGACTGGAACAAGAAACGGGAGATTTTCAGCAATTTCTGAGCCCCGCTGGCCGCCCCCCTCCCGCCCAGCCCGGACGTTTCTGAGGTGCCTACACCCTGTCCCTCGGTGTCCACGTGAGATGCTTTGTGCTCTGCTCTTCACTGGTTGCTTTTACAAGGCGTATTTTAAAGTCCTTTTTATTTTTATTTTTTATTATTATTATTGTTGTTGTTATTATTATTATTATTGTTACTCACCAGCGATTCTCATAAGAAAAATGTGACCAAAGCTCCTTTTCTTGCTTGCTCTGGCTCGGGCTGCTGTCCCTGTTCCCATGAGAAAGGACTGGAAGGATTTTAACTCTTGTTTCTTACCTGCAGCATTTAGGCTTCTGTTACTTCTTTTTGACTTTTTATGTGGGGTGTTTTGGCTTTGTGGGTGTCCCAGACTGAGCGCCGTGGGATGCTCTGTGCCCCTGTGGAAACATCTCACAGCTCGTGGTGGGGGTGCCAGGGACCCCTCCCCAGCTCCCCGTGCCCAGCATGAGCTGCTCCCAGCATGGGAAAATGGACTGTGCCTGGAAATTGTTCGTTGGCTTTGCTATTGAAGCAAAAACATTTGTTTTGTTGGTTTTTTTTTTTTTTTTGGTTTTTTTAATGAAGTCCCATGTGTTTTGAGTTAGTTAGGAACCTCCCCCTCACCAGCAGCTCCTGCCCAGGCAGTAAAAGCCCATTTTTCACCCCAAGCTGCTCTGCAGAAGGGAGAGGATGGGGTTTAAAAGCAAACCCCAGACCCCAAGGCCACAGCTCTCCCCAGCTGCAGCCGTGGATGTGGCAGAGGAAGGAGGAGCACGAAGATGAGACCCATGAGATGCTACAAAACCCCTTTGGACACAGCTGGCAGTGGGGATGAGCCAACATCTGCTTCCAGGAGGGATGCAGCTCTAACTGAGGCTCAGCACTGGGAGTGGGGCTGCTCCAGGTGCCACCTGGGCTGGGTTTGGTGTCCCCAGGGAGTGTCACCAAGGACATCCCCCAGAGCCATGGGGTGACCTTGGGGCTGCAGGTGGAGCAGGCAGGGGTGTGAGGGAGCGGGCAGCACCTCAGGCCTCCTCCACAGCCCCACTCTGGCCATCAGAGTGTCTCTTTCAAGCACTACAGGTGAAGTCCCTGGAAGCTCTGTTTGGCTGTGGGTGCAGGTGGATCAGCCGAGCTGCAGCACCCCCAGGGAGCAGAGCTGAGCTACCAGGGCAGGGGCTGGGGCTGCCCCACTCCCTCCCAACCCCAGCCCTCCTCTGGGGAGGGACTGGGAACACAAAGTCCCTCTTCAGCCATCAGCTGGCCGTGGATGAGGGGTGAGCACAGAGCTGTGACTGTGCCCTGCCCCACCCAGCCCTTCTGGGATGGAACCCTTGGCTGGGCAGTGTGCTGTGCGTGTGGGAATGGCTCTGCACGGATTTCCTAAGGTATTTCCAGATTGTGGAGCTAAAAGGTGCCTTATGCCACCCTCTGCTCTCCTCAGCAGCGGGCTGGGGCTCAGCACAGGGTGTTTGGCTCCAGCTGGTGCCCGTGGCCTTATGCTGCTGGCAGGAGAGTGTGGAGAGCCTCAGGGGTGAAGGAGATGAGTTCTCTTTATGCAAGTTATCTTTTAGGATTGTTGATGGGCTGAACAGGTCGAAAATAATGACTTTGGAGAGGAACTGGTGCAGGTGTTTGGCTGTGGGTGGTGAGACAGGACATTGGGGTGAGGGGGGATGTGGAGAGGCTGCCTCCCCTCGGGGCTCTGCCATTAACAAGACACCTCTTCCCCATCCCACTTCAAGCTACCTGCTCTCTTTTGGACCCCAAAAATACTGTTTTCTCTCTCTGGGTCGTGTTTGGAAGGAGCCCTTCTTTTCCATGCTGTGCACGTTGCTTCCCGTGCCCGCGTGGCCAAACCCTGGCAGTGCCCAGGCTGTGGGGCAGAGCAGTCCCTGGTGCTCTTCAGAGAGCACAGACCTGGTGTCAACACCCCATTTCTCATCCCAGACTGCTGGAATTGAGGCGGGGAAAGGAAGAAAAAACAACCTTGTGTAGTGTTGAATGTAGATCAAAAGAAATCAGGTGTGCAAATCCGTGTTGGTAAGATTGCAAATCTTAATCTGTTAGTCCAAGGAAACTGCTCCTGGTTGAAGCATTACTGCATTCCTGACATCTTGTTGTAGCTCAGTAGTAATTATTCAGTTCCTGTACATTTAACTTGGAAAAGAAAAATCAATAAAGTCAAAGGCTGGCAGCAGCACTGCAAACCCACCATGTACACTGTAATGTCAGTAATAAACTTGGTTTGCCATGTACCCAGCACTTATCTGCTCCTTCCTCAGCTGCTCGGGGAGCCCGGAGCGGAACTGCAGCCCTCCAGCACATTGTAAACTCTGCTTCCTCTGGAAAGGGGAGCTGCAATTACGCCTTTGAAGCTCCACAATGAAGTCAGCACTGCCCTTTCTTTGAAGAACAAAACACAGGGGTGGTGCTGTGCCTCTGTCAGCTCCTGGGGACACAGCCTGGCACCCGAGGCTGCTGTAACCCTTGTGCACACACAGAGTGGCAGTGGCTCAGCTCCTGGCCCTGCTGTGCATCACCCACCCCTGTCCTGCTCCAGGACCCACAGGTCATGGTGCAGGCAGTGATTCCTCTGCTCCTGCCTTGGGAAGGCTTCAGCTGCACCTCAGAGTCCCAGGATCACCAAGGCTGGAAGAGATCTTCAGGATCATCAAGTCCAACCTGTGCCCCATCCCCAGAGCACTGAGTGCCACGTCCAGGCCTTCCCTGAGGGATGGGAGCTCCAGCACCTCCTGGACAGCCCCTGCCAGTGTTCCACAACCTTTTCCATGAAGGAACTCCTCCTGTGTCCACCCTGGCTGTCCCCTGGGCCAGCTCTTGTCCTGTTGTGTGGCAGGGCAGGGCTGGGCAGGTTGCCATGGCTCAGCCTTGCTGAGGTCACCCACGTCCTCCTCCCCTCAGCCAGTGCCACACAAATGCCAGCAAAGCTCGTGGGTGCAAAAAGCCCTCACCACCTTTATTAAACAAGTATTTACAAGCAGCAGCAGCTCCCTGAGGACAAAGCTTTTCTCTGCAGTGACTCAGCGTGGCACAGCTGGGCCGTGCCCAGCCATTCACCCAGGCTGGAGCCTTCAGCTCTGCCCCAGCAGGATTGCTGCCTCTCAAAGCCCCTTTTTCCTCTGCAGAGCTGAGCCAGTGCCAGGGGCTGCTCCCTGAGCTGCTGCAGCAGGCTCCTGTGCCCTGCAGTCACCTGCCAGCCCTGTGCCAGGCCCAGCTGCAGCAGGGCTCAGCCCAAGCAGCTCTGTGGCTCTCCCAAGGCTGCAGGATCCCTCAGAGTCTCTTGGCAGCCGGGCAGATGTCTTGGTTGAGGCACTGGCTGCAGCGAGGGTTCACAGGCAGGCAGGTCTGCTGCCCAAAGCCCACCAGGAGCCAGTTTATCTCCTTCCAGAGGTCCCTGCAGTGGGGGGACAAACAGCACTGATGCCATTCAGCTGCTTGGAAGGGGTGAGGAACAGCCTGTGGTGTTAATGGGAGCCCTTTCCTCCTGGAGGTCAGTCCCAGCCCTCCCAACCTTTCCTGGTCCTGGGAGCAATGCCTGTGCTCAGCACGTGCCAGGTGTGGAGATGCCCCTCTGTAAGTGCCAGCTGTGTTTGACACTGAACATTAACCACCAGTGAAGGCCAGAATCCAGCCCTGGGCTGATGCTGCTGTGGCCACTGGGCTCAGCAAGGCCCTCTGTGGAAAAGCACCTGGCTTGGGTCATGGTAAACTTGGCAAGGCAAAAATCAGGGATCAGGAGCTCCACTGGTGGTGACTGATCCATCTGACAGCAGCAGAACCACCACACAGGTAAGATGCTGCTGCTGTGGCCCTGGCAGAGGGGAAACACCTGTGACCCTGGAAGGAGGAAGGAGCCCAAATGCAGTCCCTGAAAGTGCCCCAGGCAGGGCTTTGTGCACACATGGCTCCTGCAGCCAGCAGGGGCTCAGGGCTCACCTGGGCAGCCACTCCTCCAGTGCCACCCGAGTCTCCTCGGGCTTCTTGGTCTCCTTCTGCACCCACTGGAGCCTGTTGGAGATCCTGTGCACGTGGGTGTCCACAGCTGGGGAGGGAGAGCCCAGAGTTTAGGTGGGAGAGCAGAGCCACAGCTGCCTGTGACAGCCCAGGGCCAGGCTGTCCCCAGGGCAGCAGGAGCAGCCAGCTGGGACAGGAGCACAGCAAGGGCAGGCTCACTCCAAGAACAAACCATTTCTTCCCAGGCCTGCAGCCAAAAAGCATTTGGGGTGTCTGTCTGTGTCTCCCCAGCCTCTCTGCAAGGCTCCCCAGCCCCGTGGAGCAGGCACAGGGCCTGGCCCCTGCTCCCTCTCCTCATCCTCCTGCAGTTTCAGCTGGAGTTACGCAAATTGTGATCTCTGCCCCTTCCTCTGCCCGCATGGAAAACACATTTCATAATACCCACCAGCAGAGAGGGCTTGGGAGGCTTAAAGCAGTGTTTATAATGTGCTTTGAGCTCAAAAGCTCTGAATGCAAAGTGTATTATTGTTAGATCAGCAGTGATAAACCTGTCTCTGGGGCTAATTGGGCAAAACCCAGGAAATTGCTGTAAACAGGAAGACTAAGCCTTGCCTCCCAAATCAAAACCGAGCACACAATTATTTGGAAAGCACTTGGCTGCTTTGGCTGCCTCTGGACTTCCCTCCCCCACAGCAGGAGAACAACAGAGCCCAAGGGCTGCTGGATGCAGGGCAGGGGCCACGGCCTGTCCAGCTGGTGGTCACCAGAGGGGCTGCAGGATCCAGCTCCCACCCACTCGCTCCTCCTGGCTTTCCCAGGGCTCTCCCATCAAGCAGCACATCCTTTTGGAACACTCATCTGTCCCCAGGGGCCCCAGGCCAGGACCTGCAGGTGATGGTCCAGCCCCATCTGTCCCCAGCTCCCCAGAGCTGTGACTTCCCTTGGGAATTTCTGCTGTCAGATCTGGGGTGAAACAGCAGCTGCTGAAATCCTACAGCTCCCTGAGGGTCACATTGCTCCCCCACCCAGATCCTCTGCAGCTACTGAACCAGAGGGATGTTACCAGGCTGCTGGGGCTGCAGTGCTTCCCCTCTGCCTGGGGAATGGAGTGGGATTTAGGAGAGGGGTGGGAAAAGCAGGGGCCAGGTTACCTATCCCAGCCACGCTGTCCCAGGCGATGTGCATGGCCAGATGGGCCATTTTGGGCCCAACTCCTGGCAGCTGCACCAGCTCCTCCACAGTGCTCGGGATGTCCCCCCCGTACTTCTGCTTCAGGATGGCCGTGGTCTGCTTGATGTACTTCACCTTGTTCTGGAAAACCAAGGGCAAAGGCACACAGTCCAAGCTGCCCCCAGCACAGGGAAAACAGGCACACAGCCCAGAAAAACAACCATTCCTGTGTGTTACAGGTGAGGCCACACATGGGAGCTGTGGAGGAGACAGAGCCTTGACTTCTACATGAAATCAAAATGCTCAGAGCTGGGAGCTCCAAGCTCCCTGCACACTGCAGGCCCTGCAGCTCCAAGCTCCCTGCACACTGCAGGCCCTGCAGCTCCAAGCTCCCTGCACACTGCAGGCCCTGCAGCCGACAACCCCATCCTGCTGGCAATACAAAACACCAACATTGGCGTAAAATCCAGCTTCTAGCCTGGCTCCAGGGGAGAGAGGAAGGCACAGGGGGTTCCTGTGTGTCCTGCACTCACCCTCCAGAAGCCCACGGGGTAGATGATGTGGCCCAGGCTCTCCTCATCCATCTGCAGCACGCTGTCCACGGTGAGGCCGCGCCGGCGCAGGCGCAGCATGGCAGCGCTCGTCACCTGGTCCTTGGTCTGGCTGGACAGCATCAGGGCCAGCAGCACCTGGTAGCGCATCACCTGGGGACACAGGGGACACTGAGACGTCATGGGGGGACCCAGCAGCTCTGGCACCTCCTTCGGTGCAGGGTGTGCTCCCACACTCCTGCCCAATCCACCTCCAAGAGAATGGCAGGCTGCAACAGGAATAATCCACAACCTTTTCATTCCACCACACAACAAAGGAAGAAACACCTTCAAGCTCAGCTGTCAGTACCTGAGAGAGGGCAGGGAGCAGCTCTGCTGCTGGGATCTCACACCAGTGCAGAGCCACAAAGGGCTGGACAAAGCTCCTCCCGAGGGTGGCATTCCCAGGAGAGCCATAGGATGCACAAACACCCAGTGATTTTTCATGCAATGTCTGCTCTAAGCAGCTTTTGAAAATCCCAACCCTTTCCCACCAGGCTTCAGTAGGAACTGGGTGTCTGGCCCCAGTGAGCTCTTCAGGGAACCAAATCTGAACCACTGAGATGACAGAGACTGGGAGAAGGACAAATCCCAGGAATTCCTCTGCTGCTGCCATGCAGGGTTTATCCAGGCCATCACCTCCTATTTCCCAATTCTTTCTTCCCAAATGTGATTCCATCCCACCAGAGTGAGAAGGATGATGCAACTAACCCAAGATGACCCGGGATAACACGGGATACAATCCTCCCTCCAGCTCTCCTGCAAAGTTTACAAAACCACAGGTGGACCAGGAAAAATCCCTGCGTGCGTGGAAGCAGGACAATCTCAGGGTACAAAGAAATGGTGTGAGGATCTGAGGTTATTACAACATCCACTTCTTCTGGGAAGCAACAAGGCAGCTTCCCCAGGGAAGAGAAGCTATTTCCATGTGGTGTCCTGGCCCCACAGCTGCCAACCCACGTGGCTGAGAGCGTGTGATGCTCCCTGGCTCGGGGTCACAGCTCATCCTCCTGCCCAGGGCAGTGTCCAGCAGCAGGGACAGCATTCCCTGTGCCAAGGCTGTGCAGCTGTGTCCTCCAGAGCCCTCCCTCAGAGCCCAGCAGGTCCCACTGCTCCTCTGGATGCTCCCCACATTCCCACTCCAGAGGCTCCTGCTGCTCCAGGTCGATGGGGTTGAATTAGCTGTCTCCAAAGTCACTTCCAACCCTATCAATTCTGGGATTCTGTGATCCCCACATTCCCACTCCAGTGGCTCCCTCTGCTCCTCCAAGCCTGCCCTGGGTGCTCCCCACATTCCTCAGCATTCCCCAGCCACCTTGCTGGATACTTTCCCTGGACTCCTACAGAGATTTTAAGGAAAAAAGGAACATGGCTTCACGCCCTGCCAGCCTGCTCCATAAAGCAGCACTGCCCTTCACATTCATCACATCCTCTGGGACCAATCCCAGCCCGGAGTCCTGATCCAGTTTCTGTCCTGGAAACATCCCAAGTGGGACAGATCCAGGGGCAGCAGCAGGGTGAGGGAGGCTGTGTTTTCCTGTGCCTGCCAGAGCTGGCAGCAGGATGCTGTAACCCATGGATGCTGCTTCCTGTGGGAATGCTGTTACCCATAGGTGCTGTTCCCTATGGGAATGCTGTTCCCCATAGATGCTGCTCCCTGTGGGAATAATGGTATCTATAGATGCTGCTCCCTGTGGGAATGCAGCTCCCTGTGGGAATAATGGTACCCATAGATGCTGTTCCCTATGGGAATGCTGCTCCCCATAGATGCTGCTCCCTGTGGGAATGCTGTTACCCATAGATGCTGCTCCCTGTGGAAATGCTGCTCCCTGTGGGAATATTGGTACCCATAGATGCTGTTCCCTGTGGGAATGCTGCTCCCCATAGATGCTGCTCCTTGTGGGAATGCTGTTCCCCATAGGTGCTGCTCCCCATAGATGCTGCTCCCTGTGGGACATAGGTGCTGGTCCCTGTGGGAATGCAATGCTGCTCCCTGTGGGAATGCAATGCTGTTCCCCCTGGGAATGCTGCTCCCTGGGGAACGCCGTTACCTCAGGAGGTGCAGTGCTGTCGTAGCACCGGTGCACTCCCATCTCATCCACGGGAGCATCCCTGCTGCTCCTCATGCGGCGGATGCGCTGCAGCTGCTCCCGCCAGAGCGGCGGCTCCCAGCGCGCCCGGGGCTCGGCCCCGCCGCCCTGCCCCGCTTCGTAGGCGATGGCCACGCTCTTCCTCCTCCTGCTCTGCCTCGGCACGCCGCCCGTGCCCGGCGTCTGGCTCCCTGCACGGCGTGGCACGGAGATTCCGGGCGTCAGGAAAGCTGCCTTCAGGAAAGTCAGCCCCATGTGCCACCAGCCACCCAGCGGAGCCCGAGCAGGGCGAGTTCCCTGCCCTCATCCCAACCCAAACACGGCACATCCCCTGCCCCAAGCAGAGCCAGCAGGGATGGAAGGACCTGCGAGACAAGTGGCAGCAGGTGACAACAGTGGGGTCACATGTCACACGATGGGGACAGGTGTCCCAAACACAGGTGAGGCTGCTGGAGGTGCATCCCCAGCCCAGGACAGCCTCGCTCCGAGGGGGATGTGACAATGACACTCAGCCCCTGTCCCCAGCCATGCCAGGGCCTGGTGCAGCCCAGCAGCTCCCTGTGCCCAGCATAGCCCTGATCCCCCCTTCCCGTGCCAGTGATTCCCGCTCTCCTGCACACCCCGTGTCCTCGATCTCCTCTTCCCGTACCCCAGGAAGCCATGATCCCTCTTTCATACTCTCCATCCCCTGTTCTGTATCGTCATCCTCTCACCTGTACCCCATTCCCTGTCCTGTACCCCATCCCCTATCCGTACCCCATCCTCTATCCTGTAACCCATCCCCTGTCCATACACCATGCCCTGTCCCGTACCCCATCCCCATCCTCATCCCCAGTCCTGTACCGCATCCCCTATCCCATACCCCATCCCCTATCTGTACCCCCATCCCCTATCCGTACCCCATCCCCTGCCTGTACCTCATCCCCATTCCCATCCCCATTCCCTATCCGTACCCCATCCCCTATCCCGTACCCCCGCTGCCCGTACCCCATTCCCTGCCTGTACCCCATCCCCTGTCCTGTACTCCATCCCCATCTCCATCCCCATTCCCTATCCCGTACCCCAATTCCCCTGCCCGTACCCCATCCTCTGCCTGTACCCCATTCCCTATCCCGTACCCCATCCTCTGCCTGTACCCCATCCCCTATCCGTACCCCAGGGCGGCGGGACCGGGCCGGGCCGGGCTCGGGGTGAGTGCGGGGCACCCGGCACCGGGGAGGGGCCGCGCTCCGGGGCCGCGCTGTGACCCCGCTGTGTGTCCGGGGGGCTGGGCTGTGACCCCCGTGGTGTTTGTTGGGGTCTGTAATGTCACCCCCGCTGTGTCCGGGGTCTGCGGTGTGACCCCCATTGTGTTTGGGGGTCTGGGCTGTGACCCCCGCTGTGTTGGGGTCTGCAGTGTGACCCCCATTGTGTTTGGGGGTCTGGGCTGTGACCCCCGTGGTGTTTGTTGGGGTCTGTAATGTCACCCCCGCTGTGTCCGGGGTCTGCGGTGTGACCCCCATTGTGTTTGGGGGTCTGGGCTGTGACCCCCGCTGTGTTGGGGTCTGCGGTGTGACCCCCGTTGTGTTGGGATTTGGGCTGTGACCCCATTTGTGTTTGTTGGGGTCTGCAATGTCACCCCCGTTGTATTTGGGGGTCTGGAATGTGACCCCCATGGTGTTTGTTGGGGTCTGTAATGTCACCCCTGTTGTGTTTGTTGGGGTCTGTAATGTCACCCCCGCTGTGTTTGTTGGGGTCTGCAGTGTGACCCCCGTTATGTTTGTTGGGGTCTGCAGTGTGACCCCCGCTGTGTTGGGGTCTGCAGTGTGACCCCCATTGTGTTTGGGGGTCTGGGCTGTGACCCCCGCTGTGTTGGGGTCTGCGGTGTGACCCCCGTTGTGTTGGGATTTGGGCTGTGACCCCATTTGTGTTTGTTGGGGTCTGCAATGTCACCCCCGTTGTATTTGGGGGTCTGGAATGTGACCCCCATGGTGTTTGTTGGGGTTTGGAATGTGACCCCCATTATGTTTGTTGGGGTCTGCAGTGTGACCCCCGCTGTGTTGGGATTTGGGCTGCGACCCCTGTTGTGTTTGGGGGTCTGGGCTGTGACCCCCGTTGTGTTTGTTGGGGTCTGCAATGTCACCCCCGTTGTATTTGGGGGTCTGGAATGTGACCCCCGTTGTGTTTGTTGGGGTCTGCAGTGTGACCCCCGCTGTGTTGGGATTTGGGCTGCGACCCCTGTTGTGTTTGGGGGTCTGGGCTGTGCTGTGCTGTGTTGGGGTTTGGACTGTGACCCCCATGGTGTTTGCCGGGGTCTGGGCTGTGACCCCCGTTGTGTCCGAGGTCTGCAGTGTGACCCCCGCTGTGTTTGTTGGGGTCTGTAGTGTGACCCCCATGGTGTTTGTCGGGGTCCGGGCTGTGACCCCCCCTTGTGTCCCTAAGAGCTTGTGCCATATCCCTGCCTGGGGTGGGATGTGGCGTGTCCGGGCTTGTCCAGGGGTCGCGAGGGGACAATGTGCCAGCGCCCGGGGTGGGTCAGGGCTGCGGGGGTCCCCAGGGTGGGAGTGTCCCTGGAGACACAGGGCTGGGGTCCATAGCATGTCCCCGGGGATGGTGGGTTGGGGTCCATGGCGTGTCCCTGGTGACACGGGGCTGGGGTCCATGGTGGCACTGGGCAGAGCCCATGGCCTGTCCCTGGTGACACTGGGCTGGGGTCTATGGTGGCACTGGGCAGAGCCCATGGCGTGTCCCCTGGTCACACTGGATTTGGGTCCATGGCGTGTCCCTGGTGACACTGGGCTGGGGTCCATGGTGGCACTGGGCAGGGCCCGTGGCCTGTCCCTGGTGGCACTGGGCAGAGCCCGTGGCGTGTCCCCTGGCATGCAGGGACAGGCTGTGTGGTGCATCCCTGGGATGCAGGGATTGCTGTGCCAGGCTGTGGGAAGGCCGTGGGATGTCCCTGGGGCTGTGGGGTTGTGCAGGGTCGTGTCCCCAAGGGCTGTGTGGTGCATCCCTGGGATGCAGGGATTGCTGTGCCAGGCTGTGGGAAGGCCGTGGGATGTCCCTGGGGCTGTGGGGTTGTGCAGGGTCGTGTCCCCAAGGGACAGTGGGTGGGGCAGGGGGAGGCAGTGTCTGGAGTTGTTGTTGTAATCACCATCCCTGTTCTTGCCCCATCTTTCCTTGCCATGGCAGCACTTGGCTGTTCCAGCACTCAGATTTGTGAGCTCTGTGATGGCCATCCCTGTTCTTGCCCCATCTTTCCCTGCCATGGCAGCACTTGGCTGTTCCAGCACTCAGATTTGTGAGCTCTTCCTCACTTCCACATCGACAGCACAGCACGGTGTGCTTGGCCTTTGCTTGGGAACAAGCATCCAGCTCACACCCTCCAAAAGTGTGTGCACGTGGGCATCCTGCAAAAATCAGCCTGTGTGGTGGGCTGGGCGTTCAGGGCTCCCAGGAAAGGGTATCCCAAAGGCCCGTGTTCCATGGGGGATGCAGGTGCTGAAGGCAGGAGCAGCACAAGCTTCTTGTGTTTCCTCAGTGCTGGGCTTCTCCCGTGTTGGAAAAGGCTCAAGGCTCTTTGGAAGAGCCCTGATGTGGTGCTGTTATTGGGGTTTTCCTGCTGAAATATTCCTCTGGGGCCTCCCTTACCAGATCCCTGTTCTGTGTTTGCAGGGCCTCGGCGCTGGGCAGCAATGGCAAAGCCTCAGAGCAAGGATTCCGGGCTGAAGGAGAAGTTCAGGAACCTCCTGGGGCTGGGAACATCCCGGGGAAGTTCCAAGTCGTCGGAGGGCAAGCAGACAGAGTTTATCATCACTGCAGAAATACTCAAGGTGTGAGAACTGAGTGGAGTGAAGGTGGAGTAGTGCCTGGGGTACCTCAGCTGAGGGGATCCTTGCTCCTTTCCTGGTTTTTTTGGCTGTCAGTTCCTCTCCATCATTCCCTCTCCTGCATTCTCTAGTGAACTGGATGTACAGCTCACCTACTTTGCACTCCAGCATTTGAGTTATTCACTCTTTGAATACTTTGGAGATACTTGTTATATTGGGTTACAGGCTATTTCCCTGTCCCCTTGATTTTTTTATAGTCTGAGCTTGATGAAGTTTCTGTGGTGGCAGTTTCCACAAGCTGGGAATAGTTTCTGTTTTATGAAAACCTTACGGTTCTGTGGAAATGAAAAATAAAATAATTGATTCCAGTAATTGGTACCACAAGTCTGTAAGCAGAATAGTTGGCACACGAGGAGGAAAATACAAAAAAAAGGGAGAAGGAGACCAGAATTCCTTCTCCCCTTGGAGAAATGGATAAGTGTTTCTGGTAAGATAAACTGTTAGCTTATTTCTCCATTTCTTTCCAGGAACTGAGCATAGAGTGTGGATTGAGTAACAGGATACGAGCAATCAGTCAAATCTGTGAAGTGGCAAAAACCAAAAAAATTGAAGAGGTGAGTTCTAAAGTGTTCAGTGAGTATTGGAAGGATGGAAATTTAAGCAGCAGCTCTCAAACTGTTGTAAGGGACTCCTGTTGTTTAGGAGGCGTTTTAAAATGGGTGATCCCAGAGGCTGCTTTGTGCTGTAAAAGGGAATTAGTCTGCCCAGCCTTCCAGCTCTGCAGCAGAGGGGATGGATCCCCGTTGGGATTCCTGGACCATCCTGGAAGGAGAGTGCTGAGGATGTTCAGGACAGCTCATGGGAGATGATGTTTAGAGAGGTTTCCTTATCCTGGCTTGTTAATAACCATCCCCCAATTGGTTTTGAACTCATCTTGTAGCTGGATGAAGGCTTCTGCACAAACATTCCCACTTGCAGTGAGTGTGGAGTGAGGAATTGCAGTTCCTGGGGCGTGGGGCTGGATTTGGTGTCTCCTGGGGTTGGGCTGGGTGTGTGCCCAGCTGGGTGAGCATCCCTCAGAGCAGAGAACTCCGCACATGGAGCCCCTGCATCTTAGCCATCAATTGCCATAATTCTGTGTGACCCTGCTGGCTGCAGACCCTGGAGGAGCTGGGCTTTGCTGCCTCATGCTTTTGCTGTGGTTTTGGGGTTTGTTCTGCTCGCAGCACGCCGTGGAGGCCGTGTGGAAGGTGGTGGCTGACATGCTGCAGCCGGAGCGTCCCGCCGAGGCCAGGCACGCCGTGCTCCACCTGCTCAAGTCCATCGTCCAGGGACAGGTGACAACAGCCCCACGGGGCAGGGGACACTGACCTAAAGTGGCTTTGTGCAGGGGGAATGGGAAAAGCACCAGGGAGCTCTTCCCTGCAAAGGTTCATATTTGTAATTTTGCCTGTGTCTCGTAAATGAGAAGAGGAAGCGTTTCGGT